ACACACACACACACACACACACACACACACACACACACACACACACACACACACAGGTTTGTTTTGCTATCTTTGTGGGGCCTTTGCATTGACTTCCATTCATTTTTCATTCATTTCTATAGCCTAACCATGACCTTTATCCATAACCTAACCATTACCAGTACATACCTAACCCTAAACCTAACACATCCTCAATTCACACCTTAGTCCTAAACCTAGCCCCTAACCCACCAACGGGACTTCTTCTTATGGGGCCCGGGCTTTGGGCCCCATAAGGAGCAGTTGGTCCTCACAATGCAGTATAAGTTGGAAAAATGGGCCTCACAAAGTAGCATAAACAAGGACACACACACACACACACACAGAGAAAGTGCAACCGTGGTCTTGTGACACTTTGCTGTCAGAAAATAGATTCTCATACGAATCATGTGAAGTTATCAAATCAGAGCAAACAGCCGATGCAGACTCCTGAGGAATCCACATTATTTTACACTCCTCACCTGTTCGCTGTTAATCTGAAGGCTCCTCGTCAAACTAAAAATAAAAACTATAAACCCGACGCACACACACCTTCAGATAGAAAGCTAAATTTCTCTGGAGCAGAAAAACTCTTACGTCCGTATGCTCTTTGTGGACTTCACATCCGCCTTCAACACCATGATCCCCCAAACCCTGATGGACAAACTATCCACACTAGGACTAAGCCCCTCCATTTGCAACTGGGTACTAGACTTTTTAACAAACAGACCACAGTTAGTGAGGATCCACAACCTCTCCTCCTCCACCATAACCCTCAGCACTGGCTCTCCTCAGGGATGTGTGTTGAGCCCCCTCCTGTTTACTCTGCTCACATATGATTGTGCAGCTACCCATCCAGGCTGTCACATTGTAAAGTTTGCAGATGATACAGCGGTGGTGGGATGCATCACAAACAATGATGAGTCCAGCTACAGGCAGGAGGTGGAACACCTGGAGAGCTGGTGCAGAGAGAATAACCTTCACATCAATGTGAAGAAGACAAAGGAGATGATTGTGGACTTCAGAAGGAACAAAAACACCTACACCCCCCTGAACATAAGAGGATCTGCGGTGGAAGTGGTCTCCAGCTACAAGTACTTGGGTGTACACATGAATGACAACCTCAGCTGGAGCAACAACACCACCAGCCTGATCAAGAAAGCTCATCAGAGACTCTACTTCCTCAGACGGCTGAGGCGAGCTGGTCTGGGAAGCTCAGTCCTCACCTCCTTCTACATGTGTGCAGTGGAGAGCATCCTGTGCTCCAGCATCAACGTGTGGCATGGAGGCTGCACAGCTGCAGAAAGAAAAGCTTTGCAGAGAGTGGTGAAGGCTGCACAGAAATCTGTTGGAATCAGTCTCCCCACCATCACAGACATCTACACCTCCAGATGCAGGAAGAGGGCCACCTGCATCATGAAGGACCCCACCCACCCAGCACACACACTTTTTGCCCCACTCCCCTCAGGAAGGAGGTTGAGGAGCATTAAGTGTAGAACCACTAGACTGAGGAACAGCTTCTACCCTGAGGCTGTTAGACTCATGAATCTCTAACTAGAATAATCACTGTGAAAAACCATATCGTGTTGCTGCTGATCTGTTTCATGTTGCTGCTGATCTGTTTCAATGTTGATGTGTTCATGCGTGCACATCTGCTCACAGACTCATGTTCATGTTTGTGGTGATGTTCAATGTTTTATGTTATGAGTGCTTAGTGTATATTTAGTTGATGCATTTCTTAGTTCATATCTTAGATGTTATTACTGTTTTTCTTATACATTTTATTGTTGGATGTAACTGGGACCCTGTGAACATAATTTCGCTCCACCACATGTACCACATGAGGTGCGAATGACAATAAAGAAACTCTGACTCTGACTCTGACTCTCTGACTCTGATGTTTCCAACCAAATAACTGCACTTGTGCATACAGCTATTGAACCAAAGAGCACTGAATATTTATTTATGTTCAAAAAA